AAAAAAAAAAAAAAAAAAAAAAAAAACACATATAAATCTGGTGATATAACTATATAAACCCTGGTTCCACATGAGTGTACCACGATGACATCAGATACATTCTCACATCAACTCTTAGCATAAGAAGAAGAAGATCGTCTTTTTGCCGCACTGGACGTTCGCGACTTCCTCCTCCTGGAAGCGTTAGTTCTCTTACGGCGGCCTCCTTTATTTTTACGTTTTGCACTAGTACTACGAGAGCGAGATTTCCTACTCTTACTACGTCTACCCCTTCCTTTGGGGCGTCGAGAAGAGCTACGCCTACCTCGTCTTGAAGAACTTAAACGTGCCTCTGAAGGTGAGCGACCACTACGTCTTCTAAGGCTACTTTTTCCACAAAGTGCAGAATACATGGATGATAAAAGTTCATGAGGTGCAGCTGGTCGAATTATTCCTGTATCACCATAAGATAAACGATGTAAATGTGCTGATGAAAGTGAAAAAACAGGAGGTAACTCTGTAACTCTAGATAATCTTGATTCCGCATTACTTAACCCATATTCCTCACGATGATCTACATAGTGCATTGCTAATGTCTCATCACGAGAACCCACATTATATGTTTTTTCTTCATAACGAACAGGGCAAGCACTAGTATAACGAGGTACAACTGCCCGAAGAGCATCTTCCATTATCTCATCTTCATCTGAACTATCACCTGATTCAGCTACAGTATTAAGAGTTGAACGTCCAACAGTGTATTGTCGTCTACCTTCACGTGTTACACGTGGTACATTTACTAACAAACGTTCAAGACTTTCTTTTGAATCAGCACGAGAAATTTTTACTTCAACAAAGTCATCATCATCATCATCATCGTCATCATCATCAATATCTTCAAAAGAACTATTCTCACTACAACTCTCAGTTGTGTAATCCAAACCACGAGAAGTATCAAATTTGTAGCCTATAGGATCTACCAAACCTCGATTTTGCATAGCTTCTACTACACCTTTAACATCTTGCTCTTGAAGTGTTTCTCCTACTCGAACAAGTTCCCATCCTGTTTCTGTATTTAGTTTTATCTTTCTTATCATAAATGCAATACATGAATTACGTTTTGAATCTCCAGAAGTAACAGGAATAATAGCCAATGGCACCAAAGCATCTGGTTTTCTCACTGCATAATATACATCAGTCACCTCACTAAGTGAAATGTCTGGAGTAAATAATGTAGCGCATACAGACACTCCACTCCACATGGCAATTTTTTTAAAATTCACAAGAACGCTATCACCAGCTATTACTGAAGGTCCTCCAGCTGGCTCTAAAAAATTATGAGCAACTTCAGTAGTAGCATCAACAACAAGCACTGTATGAGGTTTATGAGAAAGTCCTTTGTTATTTGTCGTCGTCCTACCAACACCCACATAATCAATTTGTCCTCCATATTCATTAAAGAGGCATGCAGTAGTATCAAAGAAAAGAGGTTGTTTTCCTTCATCAGGTACTGAACGGTAAAGAACAATCTCCAATTCAGGGACATGACGGCTAATAAATGAAGATTCTCCTTCCATAAGAACTCGAACTTGAGCATTTGCTATAGCCCTCTCTATGTTTAATCGCATTTCTTCTGCAGAACACATTCTAGAAGGATTTCCTGACTTACGTGAGCCTCGTTTTCCCCTACCTGTTGAAGCACTCCTTGACTTTCTCCCCTTTCGCCTTTTTGATTTAGATCTTGATCTACTTTTGGATCTCCCCCTTAATTTGGATCTCGATCTACCTCCTGATTTGGATCTTGATCTACTCCTTGATTTAGATCTCGATTTTCTCCTCAATCTGGAACCCGGCCGACTTCTTGAAGTAGATAATGATCTACTTGTGGACATGGATCTTACTTTTTCTGAACCTTGCCGCACCTCCATTTTCCTTTTTTTTTCTTTTATGAAAGATTTAAAAAAAAGAGAAACCAAGACAATTATAATTCAATGAAGTGATTATTTCTCCATAAAAAAATAGATAATTTAACCTGATAAAGTATTTACTGGGTTAAATGGATAATAATTTTTCAAAAATTAATAGCAAAAAAAAACAAAACAAAATAAAAAAATAAAAATTAGGTTATTTGGTTTATATTGGCAATCCCTTCATTTATTGTTTTTTTTTTTTTTTGACTTACCTTATCAGTTCTCTCAAAGAATTATAACGAGACGAATCAAGTGCGGCAAGAGCTTCTTCTACACTCTGCGTTACAGTTAACAGATTCTCAAACGTACAAAACATCCACCTCGTTTCTATTGTTCCACTAATAGGATTAACTGTACTCAAAGCAATTGTGTAATAAGGCATTCCAGGTACTTTTGAAGCCGTACGAGAACCCAAGGGAACCTCTAATCGCCATCTAATCTGAGCATAATGAGGGACTGAGGCAGTTAATATATTTATATTACCAGATGATCCTTCCATTCTGCACCTTTCTGTACTTATCATGGGAATAGAGAAAGAATAAGAAATACCAACAGAAAAAAGAGCCAAGAAAAAAAAAAGCATGGCTAAGAATGAGATTGTCTTTTTTTTTTCTTCGTTAAAACTGGACTAATCTTCTTTCTGATGAACAGTGGGATAAACATATCTACTCCAAGAAAAGCATTATTTTCGTGGTGACAAAAATAAATAATAATAATAATAATAATAATAATAATAATAATAATAATAATAATAATACTCGATGTAATACAACGATTACTTTTTTTTAGACATGTAAGACTAAAGACATTAAAACAAAAACAAAAAATAACAACTCATACTCTTTTATGCACCTCCACAAATTTGTGGGAGGTGATAACGATACCTCACCATCTGAAGAAAATATACATATATACAATGTTTAATAAGTGAGTGAAAACAAAATATATAAAATATTCTTGAACAAACTCTTGAATGCTACACTAATTTAGAGATATGACAAGTACCAAAACTTAGAAAAAAAAAATGCCTGCAGTAATAGAAATATAATTAATAGCGTATTATTTTTTTTTTAGCCATTATATAAACCATAGGGGTAGTATTTCCCTTCTCTTTCTCTCCAGAAAGAAAAATAAATGGATACTCATAAATAATTGATGGGCTAGTACAGAAGAACAATTCTAGGTACATGATTTAAATTTTTTTTTCTCTACAGTTTACCGGAGAACTTTCAAAGAAGGACTGGTTTCAAGAAGAGAGGAAAAAAAAATTATCATAAATCTTTTTTTTCTACTTTTTCTCAAGTTAACAGATTACGAGCACGATCAAGGCTTTCTTTTGTCCATTCTGCTAACTTAGAAATCTGAATATCTTTTGATATAGTTTCAGAGAAAAGTGGTGCTGAATATACTTCTATATGGTTATCTACGTTAGGTGGTGCTTTAGCAGTAGGTTCTTCATTAAGATTTGCTATTCTAATCCGTAAATGGGCCATATGAACTTCAAGAGTCTCCTTCTCATGATTCCAAGCCTCTATTCTTTTTTCTTCAGCTTTTGTAGGGTTAGAATCAAAAGATTTAAACCATTCTTCACCTTCGTTTAAACGGTTTTGAAAATTTAATATTGAAGAACGCAATTGCATTTCTTCGTTATGAAGATCACCAAGATCAAACGAACTGATCACTTGTGAATGAATATCATCTAACATTTGCTGTTCTTTTAATCTTAATTTATGATAATTCAACTCCACTCTAGATTGTTCAATATAGCTATTCCATTGAAGGCACTCATCTAAAATAATAAGTTCACGGAAACCTAATTCTTCTGCAAAAAGAATTCTACATTCGGTACTTTTTCGTCGTTTAACCGCTTCACTATTAAGCATTTTTAAAACTAGAACCTTTTCCATTCTGCTATATGGTAACAAAAAGACAGAAAAAAAAAAATCCAGCATGGAAAACAATTTTTGAAACCAAAAAAAAAAAAAAAAATACAGAAGGAAATAAAAAAAAAAAAAAACATATCGCCCCCCTTTTTTTCCAAGTGACCGGAAACAGTAAAAACATTATACTAAGAATAAATCTTATATATAAAGAAATAATAAATACTATATGTCCCACAGGCCCAGGCAAAAACACCACCTAAGACACGCTGATACTAGTTCTGAATGAAACCCTAATAAATAAAGTAAAAAAAAAAATTTCTTTTCTATACTCCTACTTACTAATCTTATTGCCGTCCTTGTAGTCTTCAAAGCGTTCAATAACAGCAGGTGTCTGAAATACATGATCTGGAATCTCAGCTCCACGGTAAAGTGATTCAAGAAGAGATGCGGCACCTCTTGGTGTAGCCTCCCATTTCATAGTTTCCAAGAGTGATTTAGCCAAGAATTCAACAAGTTCAATGTGAGGGATAACCACCTTTGCATAATCATCATCAGGATCTGCAAAAGCATCAAGATGTTCTCCGTCCATTTCAACCTTTAACTGACCTCCCTTATCGTCAAGAATTGGATAAGCCATAAGACTGTAACACTTCAAAAGACGGTGGGGATCACCCAAATGAGGTGGAAGGAATACACGAATAAAAGTTTTGTTTTCCTTGGCGACTTCTCCCAGACGACGAAGTACATCTGCATCACGTGGATCCATGGTAGAAGCATATTGACTCCGAATACGATCATTTACATCCGGCTTTCGAAGCATACAACTGTAAATTGTATCCAAAGCAGCATTATCCCAACCTTTTCCAAAAAAGTATCGGCATGAGGATACTACTGCCAATGAGCTGGTAGCAAATCGCTTCATCTAGGGAACCTTTCTTTTGAATAAACAATATATCAATTTATTTTTTTTGTAGAATTAGTAAGAATAAGGAGGAAGGAAAAAAAAACCAATATACTTATACAGACCCATACATAGATATCATGTACATATATTATATATAAGTTATATGGAAATCAGAAGTCACACGTTTCTACTTGAATAAAATACATAATAAACTCCAAGACGTTTAGATCCAGATGTTTTCTTTTCTTTTCTTAATTTAGGGTGTCTATTGTGCACGTACTCAGACATTTATAGTTTGCCTAATGGTACTTTTAAGGGAAAAAGCTATCGAACTGTTTTGACAGTAACTTTTTCTCAAAAAATCAAAATAAGGATAAGGATGGAATTTACCTAAAGTAATAATCAATTACTCTACCAATTACATCTTTTTTTTACTTTTATGCCGACATGCTGTTCATTGCTTCTATCAGTATTCTTTTTTTTTCCTCTTGCTTGTGTCTGTGTGTGTGTCCCACCTTATCTCAAAAAAAAAAAAATAATAATAAAATAAAAAAAAACAGAGATACGTGCACTGCGCAACCCCACATTTCTTTTTTTGTTTCTTCCTTCACTTTAACTGTACTGGAAGTCTGGATTTTCAGTCTTTGATTTTTCCCCTCACACTCTCTCTCGTTCTCGTTTTTTTTTTCCTTTTTTTTCCTACCTCGTTTTTTTTTCTTGTTTTCCCTTAAAACTATATACCCAATCGATTCACCCCCTTTCTACAGATCCATGCAAAGTTGGTAATAACTTTTCCCGCTGCGCTGCTCCTTTCTCACGAACAACACGAGAGAATTGATTTACTGTTGTATCGAACAAAAAATCAAAAAGTGTACCTGGCCAAGACTCTGTAACAATTAAATCATCATAAAATTCTGGGGCAATATCACGAAGTTTTTGAAGTCGATTCCATGGAATAGAGGGAAAATCATGATGTTCAACGTGATATCCTGCATTCCAAGTTAACCAATTTAATGGTCCATAATAAGAAAAAGTCTCTTGTTTTCCATCGCCTTTGAAAACAAAATGTTCTGAAATAAAGTGTCCAGATATAGGGTGCCAACTGGTTCCCAAGAAAATAGAGAACAAAAAGTACAAAAGCGGTGCAAATCCAAATAAAGAGTAAACCAAAAAATTAAAGGTCAACTGTACAACATAATTAATAATATGCATATTATCAAATTTTATCCTCCGAATAATTGTAGGTCTAAATGCGTAAAATAAAATTTGAAACGTCAGAAAGAAAAATTTACCAAGGAAATTACTTAGTAATTTACCTTCCACAACAGTTGGCACGTCCACATCAACTAACTCCCAACCAAGGTAATGATGATGATCTGAATGATAAGTTTTAAACATCATTGCATAAGGAAATGGTACAATAAGATTTATAAAAATTGCATAAAAATCATTGTATATTCGTGTTTTAAAAGCAAGGTAATGGGTAACTTCATGAATTGCAAGAAAAGAACTGTGGGTAATTGTACCTCCAACAAAATAAGAGAGAAGAAGAAAAGTTGTCCAGCTCATTTCGGATGCTCGGTAACCAAGATAAAGTTGAAGTAGAATAAATGGAGTTAAAATTCTCCAAATCCAAGGATCATGTCCATAGAGTTTTTTTATTTCTTTACCATACTTTTTCAGCATAACTCTAGAACGTGTTGCATGAGTATACTCTTCATTACTCCAGTAGTAATCATTCCTTCCTTGTTTCTCAATCATTTTTGCAAACACATTCTTACCATCCTTGGACATTATTTCCACCCCTAATCAGATAAACAAAGATGAGAAAGATGATATCCTAAAACCTCAGCAAAAAACAAAATTATTTTTAATAGAAAAAGAAGAGAAGAGACTCATATACGTTGATAACCAAGAAAACAATTAAACAAAACAAATATGATATGACAATTCACATTTCATGTAGAAAACCAAAAATACAAAACAAAAAAAAAAAGAAACTCCTTTTGTAACTATCTTTAGAGAAAATAAAAATGAATAAAATAAAATAAAATCTTCCACAGAAAATTACATGGTATTCTTACCTTAGGTTATACCGTTATAAACATCGATGAATAGAAGACGTATCAAACTAGTTCCAGAACCACAGCACACAACCCTTTAAAAAAAAATATCTTTTCACTCCCACAGCTCAGACTCACCCTTTAGAAAAACCAAAGAGTCAGAGAAAACCAGAAAAGTTAGTCGAAGAAGAAGCAGACGCGGAAGAACAAGAAAAAAAAAAAATGATCAGCATCAAACGAAAAAACACGAACAAACGAATCTCCAGCCACCCAGGTCGACACCTCTAAAGAAACGAGAAACCCAACCACAGCCATGGAAAGCCATGCGGACCCACACCGCAACCCAACCACAAGAAGACCCAGAAAAGGCAAAACGCGCCACAAGGGCGGACGACACGGAAAACCGCGGTTCCCCTCCCAGCTAACCCCCCGCGCGGCCAGAACGCCCTTCAGAATTCCTTCCCTACCCATTTTCCCCGCAGCCTCGCCCCGCACCGAAAATAACCCTGCGAAAAATCGTGGGGTGGAGAACCAACGAACCGGGAAAAGGGTTTTCCTGGTTTTTTTTCGGATTGGGCCGAAAAGTTGGGGCCAACCGCCACCAAGGCCGGTCCAAAAGGAGCCGTGGCACATAACAACCGAGGCGCCCGGAAAAAAAACAAACGCCGGAAGCGCCGCGAATTGGCAGAAAAATTAAAAAAAGGGCCCCTCCGGGGTTGGTGAACCTCGGGGGGTTTTTAACCTCCCCAAGAGACCCCGCACGCCATCGTGGCCCAAGCGAAGCGGAAGTCTTTTTTTACACAAACTTCCCCGGGGAAAATGCAAATAACCAAATAAGCAAAAAGCCCAAACCATCCCAACATCAGGAGACACAACCAACTGAGAGAACCACACGAACACCTTATGTAGACAACGCCACGTAAGATTCACATTATTCTTTTTTCTTCCGCAAAAAAACACTTTGAGGTTTGCCCCAACGCCATGAAAACCAGAAGAATCTTTCATATATAGGCAATGCCATATTGCATATTGTTTGGACTTGCGGCGGGTCCTGGCATTTTGTAAGTGTAGAGCGCGCTCTCTTACCGCTAGATGGCCCCGCAAAAGAGAAACGTGGTCACTAAGTTGTGTATGCTCGGTGGAATTTGGCACGGATTGCCAACCAAGAAAATGCCCTTAATTCCCGTTCAGATCTTCTCGCAGAATGATATTTTGCCATTTTGCTATGTGTTATGAAAAAGAGGAAACTGACAAACGAAATACATCCATTGCAACAAAGGCAAAAAAGAAAAAACTGGACGCACTATTCTTAGAACTCTGACACCCCTTAAAGTAGATCGTTTGTTCCTCCCCACTTGATGTGAACATTTTGTTATCTTTTAAAATCAGAATTTGAAGACGGAGATGCACCGGAAACCATTTTTTTAAAGTGACCTTTTGCACCGACAACCCTCCGCAAACTAAGCAAGAAGAAAGATGCCATCAACATGGTGCATCGCAGCATTTGCTCACACACTGGAAGAAATGCTTGTCTCTAGAATTGGAGCGGGTGGAAGAGCACATTTTCGCTCAAAAGGACGCCGCGACCATGAGACCATCGGAATCCAAAACCCCTATTCCTCAGAAAAAGAGGTAGACAAAAAAGAAAAACCGTCCAAGAGTAAGAGAACCTCGTACAATGACGTGGGGGTCGCTTGTTTTTTCACGTTAGGATGCGGAAGCCATGAAGACTTCCTGCATTCCTCCCGTGGATTTTCTTTACTTTTTAGCTTCAGACGGCAGGACGGGCCGCTTTTTCTACAGTCACCAGTCACCCCTTTAAAACGTACAGACGGCACTCCGCTATTCCACAGGCATTGGGCACGGTGTCGAAATAGACTTCGCTGCAACAAAATCCGAATTCCATCAAGAAACGTATTTCCCTAAAGAATTATAATTCAATGAAGGAGTTTTCTACCCACTCAATGGTCGTAACCGGCCGTTTCTCCGGCAGAATCTCCAGAACACACGAGCTACTGAAGAAGGCCATTCAGAGCAAATTATCTCTCTTCCCCAGCGTTCTCAGAAAAAAAAAAATGAGTTTCTGAGTACTTGGCAAAACTCTCTGTATTACCGTCGCCTTTCAAAAGCAAATTGGGATGGGAAAACTACCTCTTCTGATTTATTTCTTCCGGTGATGTCGGGCAGTTGCCATCGTAAAACGATGAAAGAAGAAGATAACGTAACTCATGCTAGTGACCGTGTTTTTTTCCACAGATAACATAAAAACTGTTTAAACCTCCCAAATATATCCCTGCAGTGGGGGAACGGTTGCGGCCCAGCCACCGCATGGTATCAATCAAAAGGAATTTCTTACCAGAACCATCTTTTGGCACTAAGTTAAGAAAATTGGAGCGCTTGATTGCTATAATACCCTGTAGAAGGTGCGGCCTTTATCATTTTTTGGTATGCCATTGGGTTTCAAAGAACCCCTTTAGCAACAACGGTCCCCAAAATAAAAGAAAATGAGCGTTTTTTTTTCTTTAGACAAGATCTTCATAACGAGGTTTCTGATTAAATCTGTCTAGGACTTCTTTTTTTTTCTGTCTTTCTGAGAGTTTTGATTCCTCAGCCTGGCGGGTGCTATGGCTGTTGCCCATTCCTCTCTGCCATGCGGATTTCTTTCCTAACACTTCAATTTCCATGCTTTGAAACCAAACCTTGCGCAAACAGCATTACTTAAATAGGATGACCTTTGTCAAGGCCAGATGCATCAACATAGGAATCCTTCTGGTGATAAACCCGAAACGAACACCACGTATGATTCACAACGCCCGGGAAGTATTTCAGCAATTGACATGCCAGAACGCGGCGCGCAAACCACAAAAAAAAAGCTTAATAACGTTAACAGTTGCGATCAAAAGACGTCCCCGGGATGGCCCTTTCCCCAGAAACTCCTGAAATGGGTGGGCCCTTTAGGGGCCCGCACGCTCATCACGAAGAAAAAAACGAGCAAAATAATCCAAAACTTCCTTTTCTTTTTAAAGAAGGTCACAGAGAAGAAAAAGAAAACAATATGTTACTTTATCGCCTTGAATCCTCCATTCCCGTAATATATATATACATTTCGGTATTTTTTTGGTTTTACCCTGACGGTTGTTCCCTAAAAAATGCCAGAACTGACGAAAATGGAAGTGCCAAGAAGCCCCTTTTAACCCGCTCCCCGCTCTCCCCATCGCAACTTCCACCCATTCGCAACGTCTATTTCTTGATGATTTTTTCTCTAGATATGCCATCCGCCAGACTGCCTTCTGATGCGAAGTAACTCCAAGTAGCTCGTATTCTGTGTGGGCGCAAACCTCTCTCTATCTGTGCCCTTGGCCTCCGACACCAACGTCTGCAAATGCGCATTTCGTTTTTGCATAAATGTGCATTTTCATTTTGTTGTCTATACGAATATCCAAAGGGACAGTCAAATGTGTTTTAAAACCGCGTGATGGGAGATGGAAAGCGCGCCACTCCCCTTGTGATATCATCTTCGGGGCGAATGCTCCCAAGCACCACCCACCGCCAGAACTTCCCCTGAATCCTTGAATAACAACGTTCCCCATCCGTACACGGAGGCCTCTGTTGCCAGCGTTGTTGGTGGATGGTAACCGCCGCGGTGGGTGAACTGGCTCGTTCGTTAACATCGTTTTGAGACAATTTTGCCCATTTTTTCTCCTCTTCTTGTCTTTATGGTTTTTAACCCAATGGCGCGAGCCATCAACAGCAAAACATATATTTAAAGATATATGTATATAATATTATTTTTTGTTTTTTATTCTTTCTTATCACTATTACGCATTGGAATTACGCATTTGCAATGAGACTAAAATGGACCCCATAAGTGGCAGAACATGGATTTTTTCGTCTCTCTGACTCCCCTCAGCGGCTAATCCAATTTCCACCACTGGAGGGCATAGTTGTTACTCTCTTTAGGGTCCGTGCCTCTCCCTTTTTTAGCGGCATTCATACTAAAGTGAATTATATAAAAGAAAGTGCTGCTGATGGCACACCGATGCGCGCCACAGGACCTTCTTGGATAAAGTTTTCTCCTAGTACGACTCTGCTGGCCCCGGTGCTGCTTGACGTTTTTAGCTTATGAACCAGTAAACTCTACAGAAAGAGAATTTGCTGACCCATGTCTTCCCCGCAAAAATACGAGGTAATGAAGCTTGACCCCACCTTTTGATAGCCAAACGTCAACTAGGGGATAGCATTCCGAAGAAGGCACGTATTTAAAAAAAGGAAAGAAATCCTTTTTTTTAGGAGACCACCTCCTTCAAAAAATTATTGAGTGCATTTTGTTTCCTTGAATAAAATCAAGTCCTTAACCTTGGTACCACGTTAAGGTGGCCCTCGTTACCAACGGTTTGCTCATTATAATACTTGCTGCATTCAAAAACCACCTACAAACTGGCTAAGCTCGGTGTCTAGCTGAGGGCATCTGCCCAAAAGTCATGCTATAGAGGAAAACTCTTTCCTCTTGTCTTATGGTGGCAAAAACCGCTAGAAATCAACTTGAAGGGCATTTTTCCCACACGCCCTTCGGCTTTTATAAGGGCAGTCGCTCTTCAAAGCTTTCTGGCGCGGGTCCAGCCCCTGTCGGTCAGGAAGCATCTGTTATTACTCCCACGCGTTGTCATTTACAGCATTTTGCTAACAAGCAACTTTCCGTTAAAAAAAAATAATACTTTTCATCATCCTTTGAGGTTGTGATAATGACGATAACGGGACCCTTCCCACCAATGACATCGTACCGAAAAAGTTTTTTTTGCGGCGAGGTGGTTATTCTTTTATTACCGGATTGAAAGAAAAATATCAACACTACCCTTAAAGATTTCCGTTTAACCATGCTGGATTTCCAACGTCTCGCGGCTAACCAGCCACGTTGAGGGGTTCTGGCGCGCTGCGTTCATCGAGGGATGCGAAGAGCCAGCGACGTTTTTCTTTTTGGAAGACCCGTAGGCCCTTAGGCTACGGCGTTATAAAGTACCGGGACCATCCGCGTCGTGCTGGGGCAGAAAAATATCCAAGAATGTCCTTGGGCATATGCCGACGTGCTATCAGCAGTATCATCCGCACCAGGTTCTTCCTCAGTGGTGTCTGATGTAGAGGAAAATCCCGGCCCTTCACTACGAGGAATGCAGTGGAACTCAGCTGGACTTATACAGGCCAAGAGGCTTGCTCTCCACAAAAACCCTTGTTGAGGAGAATGTGACATTCTGCCTTCTAAGCGAGACGAAACTATCTTGTGCGGAAGTGTCGAGTTTCACAATCGCTGGTTACCAACATCATGGGGAAGTGTCCCACCCCTCTAAAGGAGGCGGCGTTTCGATTCTTGTGCGTGAAGATCTGCCAGTAGAAGTAGGACTCACCGTAGTTGCAAGCATTGAGCATGCTCATGCAACGATCCACATGTCAGAAGGTCTGGCGCTAACAGTGACGTCAGCATATTCTTCCCTCCGGAAAGATCATACACAACTTCGCAACTAGACACGCTTTTGACGACAAGCGGACCTCACCTCATTGGTGCAGATGCTAATGCGCATGCAATGGCATGGGATCGCGCGATCCCCCCCAGATACCCGTGGCGATGTGATAGTACTATGGTGTCTAGATAATGACTACGTTATTCACAACACTGGAGATTGCACTCGCCCACACCACACGCCATGGCCCGTCCGCGCCAGATGTGACAATATCCCGAGAATACTGTCTAGAGTCATGGACAGCATCCTTCTCCCCGGACAGCGGCCATTATATCATCCCCTTCGACGCAGTAGTAGATGATGATGAACCACTGCGGTTCCCCGCCCCCGCGCCCCCATTTATGCATGGAAGAAGGCGAAATGGTCTCACTTTAGGCAAATGTCAAACGCACAGTGCAACAAACGACTTTAAGAGAAAATGAGCGTTCACAAGAGAGAACGACTTCTGACCTCCGCCATCCGTATCGCAACAGCTGCGGGGGTTCCCCGCGGAGGTCGAGACACCACTCCTTTTTGGACTCCTGAGTTAGAGGAAATAGAGAAGAAGATTTACAGCTGCAGACCCTCTCTTTCGAGACAGACTGTTAGCTCGTAGAAGAGAAATGCCAAAACAAACATCCCATAAAAGATGGAAAACCCTCTGTAATAACATGGCCGTGGCGGACGGCCGCTGTTGAAACATTTTGAAGAGGATTTACGCCCCACGACCCCTCATTACCCCGGCGATTAAGCTTAACAACACGGTACTCACGGAAAATCAGAAAGCCAAGCACTTTATCCGTTTATATTCACGGAGAGCTAAACGCCATCCACATTCCTACCCTTCACCACCCATTCCAGTTACCGATACAGAATTCATCCCCATTACAGCAGCAGAACTGGAAAGGGCACAGCGTCTCCTTCCTAAAGGGACGGCCAAAGGTCCAGATGGTATCTACGGTGAGGCACTCCAACACTTGGGACCTCGTGCCAAAGCAGAGACTCTTGCTCTCTTCAACGAGAGTCTCCGTACGGGCGTGGTTCCAGTCTCTTGGAAAGTAGGCATTATTGCACCACTCCTTAAACCCAGAAAGAAAGCCACAGATTTAGATTTGTTCAAACCAGTTACCCTCACTAGTTGTCTGTCCAAATTAATGGAGCGGATCATTGCAGCCCGAATTCGAAATGTCATTGAAACCAAGCTGACCCCGCAACAATCTGGATTTAGACCTGGTCACTCGACGTTAGACCAACTATTGCATCTACGCGCAGCCCTCACAAGACCCACCATTGATTCGCGTACAGGTGCAGTATTCGTCGACTACGCCAACGCTTTCGATACTGTAGACCATGATCGGATAGTTAGTGCGATGCGAGAGATGGATATCCCACCGCACATCATTCGATGGTCAGCATCTTTCCTGAAAGGACGCCAAGCCAAAGTACGAGTAAACAGTAAATCCTCTCCTTTAATGCATTTCAACCGTGGCGTGCCACAGGGAACAGTTCTCGGCCCACTTATGTTCATTATCGTCATGAACACGCTAAGCAAACGATTATCTCAAGTTCCCTTATTGTTTCATGGTTTTTTCGCCGATGATCTCACGCTAGCAGTACGACACGTCAACAGAGACATCATAAACAGTACACTGCAACAAGGAATAAACATAGTGGATGAATGGTCCAGGAACTATTTTATGGACATTAATGTGGACAAGACAAAATACACACTTTTTGGTACCACCAACCCGAATCCCCTTTCTCTGAAACTACGCGGTATCCCCGTGGGTCCGGAGAAGACACCCAAACTCCTAGGCATCACATTTCAAAACTACCGAGGCATGTCTACCCATGTGGTTCAAACGAGACAACGCATGAATTTTAGGTTACTACAACTTGCAGCAATCTCCTCCACCACATGGGGACCGAAGCGTGACGTCCTTCGAGCCTTCTACCTGACACTAGTTCAAGCCCAGACGCTTTACGGCTTTGAGATCTGGTATTGGGATGCGGCTCCCACTTCACGCAAACTCCTAGATGCAGGTCAGAACAAAGCTTGCCGAACCATAGCAGGTATCCC